TTGTAAATAACTCATTTCCTTTTTAATACATCTGTATATAGTTTATTAGAGGACTGGCTACAGCATTATCTTTGGGGTGCGATCTAAGGTTCATTTGATCTGGGGTAAATCACTGGTCCTTAGGGCCTGTGAGTAACTTGAATATTGCTGTGATTCTTGATGTAAGGGATCATCTACCATAAATGTAGGTTTACCTGAGTGGCAAGACACAATTTGGAGTACTCAAAGGGACTGTCTGTGATTCCACATTAAGGCTGTTATAGTGCCCAAGGAGTTTACACTTGCTACTTTGTTGGTGAAATCTAGGTATAGAATTCACAACTAATTTGGGGATTGTGCCCTGCTTCTCAGGTTGTTACTCACGCTGCTGAGCCACTGCAGGACAGCTTGACTGGGCCTACATAGTAAAAAAGTGTATACAGTGCTTATGTTCTTCTGAAAATAGAGAAATATCTTGACTATTACCGTCAACTAAAAATTGCATCTCTTGTATTTGTCTGAAAATGTTTACCTTATTGTTACATGTAATGTCTAAGATTGCAATAACCAAGGCTACAAGAACATTTCCATTTTTTCAGTTTTACATTACATGAGATTTTCAAAAGCACTTGATGTTAGTCTACTTGAAACCTTCTCTATTCCCATTGAAGTCAAGCCAATGGCGAGCACTTTTGAAAATTGCACCCTTTGTATTTTGACACTATTTTCCCTGTATACTCTGTTTTGTTTTTGTTGGGGGTCTTTCACAGCAACAGGTGAGAAAAGTGGAAAAATTTGATCTTAAAACAACAAGAACGAGAACGGTAACTTGGGGACAGGTGTAGTTGTCCAAAACCAAATTCATTTTTAAAAATTAAATTTCTAGTTGACAAAGTCAACTAAATTGAAAACCTGAATAGTTTAATAGATTTGTGGATTTTAAGGCCAGAAGGCACCATTATGATAAATTAGTCTGACTTCTTGCATAACTCAGGCCCATAGAATTTCACTCCTTAACTCCTGCTTCAAGCCCGTAGCATCAGACTGAGCTAAAGCATATATTTTAGAAAAATATTTAAAAAGTCTTGAACTGAACACTAAGTGATGAAACCCCAGGTTTCTAGATAAGTTGTTACAATGGTAAATTACCTTCCATTAAAATTTGCATCTTATTTCCTTCCAGTCTGAATTTCTCTAGCTTCAACCTTGTTATGCCTTTGTCTTCTAGACTGAAGAGCTTCTACCATCAGATATATTCCACAAGATATCAGGAATCTGCAACTACTATGTCTGGTGTTCTCTAAAAATTAAGTTTGGCCCTAACATAGTCAATATATTTCATTTTGTTTTACATTTAAACAAAGAACTAAATATGCCTGTGCAGCATTTCCAGTTGAAACATGGCAATATCATGAAAGTGCACGAAAACCTGAAACTGGACTAGACTAGGAACAACAGTGAAGCTTGTCGATTTGCCCTAGCTAAGAAAATATAAATAAATACCACAAGTAAATTAGATTTTTAGACTATTCCATAATCTTCTTTATCAGAGATGTTCTTTGCAACATACATATGAACTTTTTTTTAAATCTGTTTTTTTTAAATCTCTCTCTCTCACACACACACACACACACACACACACACACACACACACACACTTGCTACCAAAGATACTTTTTTCCCTTGCTTGTAACTCCCTCGTCTGAGTACCTACAATACAGACACATAATATTGCTTGGGGCAGCAAAAAGTTTAGTTTAATGTTTACATGACAGATCAAGGATATCTTTGTGTAAAGAAAGGACAGGTGACATCTCCCCAAGAGGAAGCAGATGTAGTGGAAAACCTGCCAAGCCTCACTCACTGAAAAGGCAAACTCACGCATTTTTTATAAATTTTATATCAGATGAGAGTTTGCTCTGTTTAAATCTCCCTCATTTAGTGGCGGTGGAGGCAGAGGCTGTGGAAACAGAGGTCAAGTTCTAGGAGAAGTACTAACTTTACTCTGTCCTCTGTGCTATCTCATTGTACTACACTCAGACTGTATCTATGATGGGCTTTCTTTTTCATAGATCCATAGAGCTAGAAGCCAGAAGGGATCTTTAGATCAGTCAGACCTCCTATACATCACAGGCCATTATATTTCACCCACTTACCCCTGCATTCAATCTAATAAACTTGTTTTGCTAAAGCCTATGTTCCAGAAAGGCATCCGGTATTTATTTGAAGTCTTCAAAAAATGGAGAATCTACCATTTCTCTTGGTAGTTTGTTTCAATGGTTAATCACCCTTACTGTTCTTAAAAGCTTCCCACTGTTATACTACCAGCTATGTCAAGTATCAAGGGGTAGCCGTGTTAGTCTGTATCTACAAAAACAACAAGGAGTCTGGTGGCACCTTAAAGACTAACAGATTTATTTGGGCATAAGCTTTCGTGGGTAAAAACCTCACTACATTACCGCCAGAGCAGTGGGAGCTTGAATGAAGACAAAATGCCAGTGTTTCATTTGTCCCTGCTCAGAGCAAATCTAAACAAGTTGGTAAAAAGGCTTGCAGCTGTCAGCACCTTGTCTCTACTAGAAGTCCCACCAACAATACCACCAGCGGAGCTGCACCACTGCTAATGCAGCCATGGCAAATTTTAAGAAAAAAGCTCAGTGTAGACAGACAGAAATGGGCCCAGAATTGTGCATGGGAGAACTCTCGACCCCCACAAACAGCCATGTGTCCTTGAAGGAAAACTGCAGAGAAGACCCAGCCAGAGATTCCAACCACTATAGGCAGAAGCTGCCAAAAGTCGGGACCTCTGGATATTCAGAGAACTTCCTACAGTTTTGACTGGACTTTCTGTCTCCCTGATGACTGGCTGTTTGTGAGGGAGAGGGAAGGCAAGGTTGGAGAAATCTCTTCAGCTTCACTACATATCTCTCCTCTTACTCCCACCCTGGCCCCCTTCATCTTCTTCCCTTCCCCTTTCTTTCTATTTAGCTGATCCTCTCCTAACTAACTGTCCTCCCCCCAGAAAAAACCATGGAACTAACATGTTTGTTGGTATCACATTGTCCACTGTGCTTGCGTGTTCTACCTCTTCCCTCATCCGCTGTCCATCTGGTCTATTTAGATTGTAAGTTTTTTGGAGCAAGAAAACCGGTGTCCAGCACAAAATGGCCCCATTCTTGTTTGGCCTTTAGGCACGACAGTAGTAAACATGATTTCAACAGAAAAGCTGCTCCAGGCATCTCTCCAGGGTAATGTTTACATACAGATTGGACTAGGCAACCATTCGCTCCCTGCTCTTCACAGATAGTATCATGTCAATAAACTATTCAAGTGTTTGCGAAGTGCAAGAATGACTGAAATCTCAAGTGTACGTGAGAAGCAATGGGTCATTTATCTGCCCAGGGTTGGGTTTCATACTGCGCTGAGGGATTTTATTTCCTGTAGACACACATCTTACAAAATCGTCCCATCACCACATTGTACAATAGTGTTACTGTGGTAGTCAAGGCCTTTCCTGATTTTTTTTAAACTTCTGTTTTATAAAAGGGACACCCGTGGCCCTGTGGGCACAAGGAAACTCAGTCCTGTCATCCACCTCTGGAGAAGCGCCACCGGGGAAGAAGCAGCAGCAGCAGAAGCTATAGGTTAGGCTTAGCCTACACCGGGGTAGGCAACGTATGGCACGCGTGCTGCCTTTGGCACGCGAGCTGATTTTCAGTGGCACTCACAATGCCCGGGTCCTGGTTATCAGTCCGGGGGGCTCTGCATTTTAATTTTAAATGAAGCTTCTTAAACATTTTAAAAACCTTATTTACTTTACATACAACAATAGTTTAGTTATATATTATAGACTTAGACAAAGAGACCTTCTAAAAACATTAAAATGTATTACTGGCACGCGAAACCTTAAGTTAGACTGAGGCTAGGTCTACACTACCCGCCTGAATCGGCGGGTAGAAATCGACCTCTCGGGGATCGAATTATCACGTCTCGTCGGGACGCAACAATCGATCCCCGAATTGACGCTCTTACTCCACCAGCGGAGGTGGGAGTAAGCGCCGTCGACGGGAAGTCGTGGAGGTCAATTTTGCCACCGTCCTTACAGCGGGGTAAGTCGGCTGCGATACGTCGAATTCAGCTACGCTATTCGCGTAGCTGAATTTGCGTATCTTAAATCGACCCCCCCCCGTAGTGAAGACGTAGCCTCAATAAATGAAGATTCGGCACACCACTTCTGAAAGGTTGCTGACCCCTGGCCTACACTAATATTTTTTCTCTACAACTCCATGCCATTGCTGTGACAGAGGTCATTTCTCCAGTGGCTGCACCAGTACAAAAAAGGTGCAAGCAGCTCCCGGCATTTTATCTAGAGCGCCTCTGAGTAGCAAACAGGGTGGTAACTAAAATATCAGTGCTTCTTCCACACCAGCACTCCCACTGTCCTTCCTACCAACAGCAGGGCTGTACTGGTGGGCAGGGACGGGTCTCCGTTTTGCTGCTGTAAATGCAGCCAGAAGCTGCCTTGCTTACTGTACTTTCCATTGTCACGTTACCAGACCAAATGAAACCCTCAAAAACACCCAAAGGGGGAATGTCATTGGCAATGAATGGCGCTGCTCCAGGCAAAATGTTAGGAGTGGTTGGCTGACAGACAGACAGACGGACGGACACACAGACACAAACACCGAATCAAAAATAACTGGTCAAAGTTTGAAATGTTGACTAAAAATGTCATTGAAAAATAGAATTTCGGGAAACGTTGCCAAGTTTTGTTATTAACAGGAGCCAGCTCCCACCGCCCCCTCAGCCCAGGGAACTCCTCTGTCCCCCGAAAAGAAGGGCTCTGGACGGCTATTGTTATGCAACCATGCCAGTGCATTAGCAGAGGAGGGAGAGGGCTAGAGAGCCGCGTACCAACGGAGCCCTCCGCTTCCCCATCCCGGCACGGTGCCGGAGGCCTGCTACGGAGTAACCGGGCTAGGCTGTAGAGGGGGGAGGAGAGGAGACGGCCACTCACTCACCCAGCAGCAGCAGCTTGAGCTCCCTGCGCGCGTCCCGCTTATCCCGGCGCAGCTGCCGCTCAATTTCCGCGCTGATCCGCTGCGACTCTTTCTCCTCCGCGGATAAGCAACATCCGGCCATGGTCAGCGCGGCAGCGGGCGGGCGGGCGAGGAGGAAGGAGCACGGCAGGGAAAACGACACCCTCCCGGCCACACCTGGTCCTCTGCGAACGCCGACGGGGTTGCGCCTCTCGCCAGCCCCGGATCCCCGCGGCACCGGCCGGCAAGGGCAGCGCGTCCGCAGGGCTCCGGAGCAGACGAGTCCCCCGCAGGGAAGTGGCAAAGCGAACGGGGATGTGAGGGCCACGGACGCGTCCCGACTGGGTGTCTCTCCGCCTCCCGCGGGAGCGCTGAGCCGCGCTCGGTGGGTTGGGCTCTCCTCGCCCCCCGGGCACTGGGCTCAGAGGCAGGGAGGAGGTGGCGGCGCGGGGAGGGGCAGGTGCTTTTGTGTCTCGTTGCCTCTCCTTTCTCGTGGGTTAATATTTGCAAGTGCGTCTGCGAGTTTCACGAGAGACCCGCGGCAATGGTGGGGGGGGAGGAGATCCCCCCGGAGGCAGTGGGACAAATGAAACCTCCGGGCCGCGGCTCCTTGTCTGGAGCGGGAGACAGGCAGAAAGGAAGGCGCAGCCTCCAGCCCCAATGGACTGCTCTCGGCTCTGCTGCTGGAGACGTGGGGGAGGCGGGGCGTCTTGCAAGCAAGCTCAGTCCCACTGGCGGCGGGAGTCCGGCAGGGCGCTGGAGCAAATGGCGCCTGGTATTTAATAATAATAAATTAATAATTTGAAAAAGGCTGGAGTCAGGAGCGGGGGAGGGGAGTCAGTGCCACTGCCTTCAGCCCCTCTGGGAACCCCTTTCCCGTGGGAGAAGTTGTCTGTCCGTACGTAACACGGCCCCGGCTGCTCGTCTGCAGGCGAACAGCCCCGCGCGCCCAGGCTTCCTCTTTAATTGAAAGATCCCTGGTCCGACAGGTGAGCGGCTGCTGCCTCCACTTCCCCAGCAGCGGGGTAGAGTAGGCGCTGCTGCCGGGCAGGGACAGCAAACCAGGCGCTAGCTGCTGAGCTGGGGGGGGGGGGGGGGGCTTGCCTCTCGGGAACAGAACTTGTTTCGCTTGTCAGCCTCTTTCTGCTCACACTTCCCTCGGCTGGAATCTGCAGCCTGGATTCATAACCCGGAGATTAATCAGTTCCAGGGATCTCACTGGAATGAGTGCAAACCTGTTTGTTGAAGTTGAGACAATCCGAAATGCATACTGTCATTCTGCCAAGTTACACGGGGGTGCTGGTCTTTAAAGTACATGGCTGGCTGACTCACTGAGGGACACACCACAAACTAGAAGAGTAAGAAAGCTTAAGTGGATGCGGGATTCGTTTATTTAAGAGGTCTAAAACTTCCACTAACTTTAGGAGAATGATTCCACATTTCTAGTGTTAAGAATTGATAGTACATTAACGAAATCAGCTAACCCCAGTTTGGTGTGGGAAGAGATTTGACACCCAAACGGAGTGATGCACTTTGAAATCTGGTGTAATTGAGGGATATGTTGGGAGTGAGGTGGAGAGAAAGTTTTGTAGCGAAGTAGGTCTGATAGGTCAGGTTTCACATTTGTTATTCTCTCATTTAGAAATGACACTTGTATAAAAATGCATAGTATATCTCCCAACGTTGTGTGACTCCCGCCCCCCATCTTTCTTTCTCCAAAAGAAAAGTCACAATAACTGAAACTATTTGACCCTTTGGTTGCAGCTCTTCATTTCTGAGGCATTGTACAATTAGTCACATTTCTCTCTTTGGCTTACATACTTACTTTATATTTAGCTGTACAGATATTACTTTCCATGTTGTGAGGTATGAAACACAATTTTACAGTTAAGCCTTGTGTGCACTAGTAAAATTAGAGCCATATTCCACTGACTGTCAGCAGTGGTGTAAACTGCTAGTAAAACAGGGTTCAGGTGTTTTTACTACTGTCATGAAAACCTGTTTTAACAACAGTTTTAGACACCTGAATCCTATATGTACTAGTAGCTTAGCACTGGTGAGTTCTCATTTGGGGTCTCCAGTTGCTACTGTTAATAAATAAAAATGAGCAGCTTTGTTATGTTACAATAGTCTGCTTGCTATTGCTTAACATACAACAGTGACAAATTATACTCCTGGGGGAATTTTGCACTATTGCGCAATGCAGAATTTTGCAGAAATTAACCTGCAGACAGAATTTCCTTTCCCCCCCACAAATGGGCTGCAGTGCTGCTAGCCACCACTAGGGGTGGGGGGCACTGGACTTGGCAGAGCCCAGCTTGCACATAGAAGACACTGCTGGGGGGAGGGAGAGGGAACTGGGGGAGGGAGAGGGAACTAGAGGGTTCCTGGCAGCTGCAGTGTCCAGCATGCTTTGAGGGAAGGAGAGGGCCGGCACGCAGGGCACTCCTTGCAAGCCTGGGACCAAGCATCAGGCTGTTTCTCCCTCTGATCCCTGGGCTCGGAGGATGGGGGAAGATGGGTGTCTGGGGCTAGAGGGGTGCCTAGCTGTGTTCTGGGGCATGTGGACAGGTATCTGGGCTGGGGGTCCCCACAGTTGGGCTCTAGGGAAGAGTGGTTATGGGTGTCTGGCCCCCGGCTGGGCTCTGGGAGGAGAGAAGGGGGCAGAGAAACAGGAACTGGGTTGTCATAGCGGTTTCTTTAAATCTCTACTCCTAGGGGAATTTTTGTGTGTGTCCCTATTGTTACAGACGTATTTGCTGACAGGTATTTTGAAATAAATTACAAAAATAATTGAAGCTGGCATGATTATGTAGTTTTATTTTGACAAATAAAATTCGCAGAATTTTAAAATATTGTGCACAGAATTTTTAATTGTTTGGCACAGAATGCCGCCAGGACTAAAATTATTAAGGTTCAAATATTACCCTCTCCTCCATGGGTGCAGAGGGCTCACTTGCAACAGAAATTATGTAGTACCCTTGCACAAAGGGGAAGGGATTGTGTGTGTTTCTAAGGATGATTTAAAAAAAAATGTGGAGGGGGAGGAAATATTTACTATGCATTAAAGGGGGAATCCAGAAACTGACACAGTTGGGTGTCCTACTGTGTACAGATACATATACTTGTCTGAACTTTTCTCTCTCCTCCTTACTACTCCATTCCTTGGTCTCTGTCTTCCTTCTCTTGGTTACATTTTTCATCTAACATTTCAGTGGATTTTTCTTATTTTTTACCTCTCACCTTTCTGTTCTCTCCTCCCCAACCACACACACACACACTTCATCTCTTCTAAGCAGAACACAAACCCAGTAAGGATAGCTGAACTTTTGAACTTGCAACATTTGCTTGGATTCAATACCCAGGAGATGATTCTGTCTCTTACAGTGTAGGCAGCTATGGACAGTGAAGCCATCACAAAGATAAGCAAATATTTATTTAAACAGGCACAAATTATTCAATTAAAAATATTTCTTCTGCAGTGTGTGGTTGACTTAAGTTTATGCTGTAAATAAACATTTTAAAATAATTTAAATAAAAAATTTCAAGGTGGTGAACTTAAGTTAATAACAAATACCTCTAACCTCATGGTTAAAATACCTGAGTGTTTAAGATTTAATAGCTAATGCTAAGTAAACACTGAGTCTTTTTAGGAATATTAACTTCTGCTAATATCCCTTCTCACATGAGAGGGGTTTAAAGTAAAGGGCCAAACTCCCTTACCTTTGCTAACCCTAGAGTTTCATATGAACAGTGATTATTCTTTGAATAATATTATTCAGACTGTGTCAGCTGATCATTGCTAGTGTAGGTAAATATTTGCCCTGTCCAACAACATTTTACAACCAGCACATACAGTTTCAGATAAGTATCAGAGGATTAGTTTATTGTAAACTTTAGAGATGTGTACACAGTAGTATGATTCCCACCCTAACAACTGTAAAAATTCAAACCGTAAAGGTGTTCTAACATTGGGAAAGGGAATTATTGTATGGGAAGTTCCAATTCAAGGGAAAGAATTCCAAAGGATCAATAGCCTAAATTTAGTCTCTTATGCCCCTGTTTAACTTTGTGCACCTGAGTTTGTCCCATTGACTTCTCTGGGATTATTCACATGTATGAAGTTAAGGATTGATACAAGAGTTTTCAGGATTGAGGCCTTATTTATCTGGTTCTGTTAGTGTAAAAGACTCTTTGGGGCAAAGGTTCGCATCTACTATCCATCTATGGAGAAAATATCATTTTAAGAAAAAGTGAAACCCAAACCCCTCACCAGGGACTCACCAATAACATAAAGATGGCCCCACCACCACAGTGGTGATCAAGGGAAGACAGGAAGTGGGTGGGAGAAAGGAACCCCGTAAACCTTCCTGCCTCAGTGAAAGTAAGGCAGAGATTAGACCTCTTGTGATTTTGATTTGGATTTGTTTGGAAGAGTTTCAAGTTCTGTACAATGATAATGTCCCTAAGGACTTCTCAGCCATTAGGAAGAGCGAGTTCCTTACCCCTAAAGGATTACAGTGATCAGGGGCAAGAACGCCTCTGACTTCCAGATATGCTTACATTTTAAAAAATCCCATCTGATCCCCTTTACAACCTGGAGTTATGAGAAGTGACACCAGCTAAGTCTGTAGGAGGTCCATTAGGCAATATGGCCTTGTATTGCAAATTGGGCAATTATGGAATAAGGGCATGTGCTGGAGTTCTCTTTCCTAAATACTGCAATTTTTTTAACTTGTTGCCCAGATAAACTGTTCTTCCCTAGGGATTGATCAGCCTGCAGGTGAGCAACACCTCTTGCCCTCTAGGCCTTAGGGTTTATGCAGCTCAGAAGGCTATGGATATTTTATGCCAGAATGGGCCCTTAAACCTTTATGTAAATACAAAGAAACTTTATATCAATAGGAAGTCTGTGTGCAGATCAAGACCAGTGTATACACACTCATCCTAAACAACCTGGCAGCATGACTCAAACTGTACTACCAGGGCCACCTCTGACTGCCCCAGACCTTCTTAAAGAATGGTGCTCCAACACAAAGGGGCTCTGGGAAAGGCCACTTCCTACTAATCTTCATAGAATTACAGAGTACAGATAGGAATATCACACCTCCTACCACTACCAAACCAGGTCTGCTCATTCTCTTTCTCCCCCCCCCCCCCCCCTCGATATGCCCACCACATCGAGAACCCTCCAGAAGGGTTCAAGAGAAGTAATGTAAAAAAAGGATGATGATCCCAAAATTTTGGGACTATGATCTGGTCCTTGGTTCTGAGTTAATTATATTTGAACTATCCACCTGGGAGAGAAATTCTGCCCTTAGATACACAGAACTCCCCTGAACTAAGCAAAGTTGTGTGTTATTTTTGAGAGCAGACTCTAGATCTGTTCCTCACCCCTCGCTAGTTGCAGGGTACTTAAGTATAATCATATATCATCATCAGAACTTGATCATCTCTTTATTGTCCCTTTTAGAAAGCATCTCCAAGTTGTGTGTGGGGGGAAATGTTTACATATCACTGTGTTAAGAGGTGGACCATCTTAGGCAACCTTTTGTGGCCAGGTGTTGCACACCAGGTGAGCCCTACCTTTCTTTCTCCATCCCCCAGTCAGCATCAATAAATCATCTTGCACAGA